ACGTACAAAATCCGGGTTTGATCCGTGCCATTCCGAGCCAACCCATACAATTACAGTACATTTTTCTTATAGGGTAGATTCAAGTTCCGATCATGACAATAACGGGACCGACACTTCTTTTTCGGGCCGACTAAGTTGCATCCATTACAGTGAGTTATAGCAAAATTTGAAAAAATGCCAATAAAGAAAGGTTTTACTATAGTTAGAATGATTTTTACCGATACCATATTGTCATAATTTACACAAATTTGTCATCATTAATGTAGATACACAAAAATTTTGCTTATGCAAATATAAATTTGAAATAAAATAATAGAATGAGAAAAATAATACACTAGAAATACACTATAATACAGTAAGAAAATATTGTACAGTATATAACTTTAAAGATAGACATACATATATATAAATATACGTATAACAATAATATGAATAATTAGATAAATAAAAATAATAGAAAAAACATAAAAATTTAACTAGTTTTAATAGTATTTGTTACAGTATTAGCTACTCAATATAAAGTAACGCCAGTTCAAAATATTTCTTGTAAGGCTTCTACCAGATTAACATGAAGTGAACAAAATCACAAGTAACCTATGTAAAAAAGAAGACTTTCTGTTCTTATTGTAATGTTATATCAATGAATTCTCTTTATTCGTGTATTTCTTCTTATCCATGACCATAGTTTTTTTTCAATTTAATCTAAATTATTCAACAAATCTGATAATAAATGACAGCCTGGGATTATGAAGTTAGATCACAAAATATCATTTCCGCAATAAACTTTTCCAATCATTTTGCACCTGCTTTATGGGAAAAGTCCTTAAAGTTTTAAGAAGGATTCATATTGTTTAAAGTAATCATAACTGCGTTAACCAATTATCCATAGAAAGGTTATCAACATATGCTAAAACTGGGTCACGTAAGACTAACCATATGTAAATAGCTAAAATCAATAAGCACCAGGTGATAATCAAATAATATTTCATTTTGATATACTTATTGCGTATGTTGATTACTTTTGATTTAACTCTCAGAATTCCTTTCTCAATAGATTTGTCATGGAAATTGACTACTTCTGAATTTTCATTCTCTACGAATATGTTAGGTCCAGATATAAGCCCATCAAATAATCCCAATTCGTTGATGTTCCCTTTATAAATACATCTAAGTAACCGAGTTATATATAAAGCCCAAAAAACCACCATAGATTGATTAATTAATTGTACTCGAGGTCCAGTACAAATATTAACTGAGATAAAATAAACCATATCAAAATTAAGAGTAATAATTACAAATTTATGTCGAGCCGTTTGTACTCTACATATAGCAACTATAGAAATCAGTATGCCCAGAC